AAAGTGTTTTTATTCTTATCAAATTTTTATTAAAAAAAATTATAGGTTACTATATGAATGTTTGTTTAAAATCGTTTAGAAATCTAAAATTAAAATGTATGATATGTTGAATTGAATTGTTCAGCAAAGAACTAATCATTCGTCAATGCGTTTCTTTTGTTAGTTTCGTCACTAGGTATGTTTGAAACTATTATGGGTTCACCTTAATCGATAAACGAGAACGAGACAGTGAATCAGCGTCCAGGTAGGCTACACTAATCTGCTGACTAATGGAAAGTCTTGATGTAGTGTAGAAAGTATATTCTACAAACACCCAGCAAGCACAATGCAATCAAGCACACAAATCTCGTTTATTGATACATCATAGAAACATCCTTAGGACAGTCACAAAAATAGCACACTAAAATACACAGCATCCAATCACAACCAAGGATTTTGCTGGTGGGAAATGTGATATTAAGGTCAACTGATCAACACATGCTCGCAAACATGAAATCCAAAATAAGGCATTTATCAAACGAGTTTTGGAGATCTAATGTCCCCAACACTTTAAAATCAGACAAAAGATTTGAGTGGTTGCACCGAGTTAGACGTTGTACATCACTAGATTCTGGTCTAGAAGTTAGGTATCTTCGCGTTAGATCTAATGCTCTGAGTTCCATTCTCACTTGATGACTTTTAGATGCTCAATAATGAGGGATCTCATACTAAAACAAAACAGCTATTTGAGTTTAATTCAACGGTGTATATATTTAAAATATCATTTACTTAATTGAATAGACATCACAGATTAATTATGAAGTGTACAAGTTCACACCAAACGAAATGCTTAAAAATCCTAATAAATGTGAAAACTGGTTTCTTGATGACTTTATATTATGATAAACTAACATTGAAAGACTAAATGATGGTTTTTCATATTCAAACCTACGTAATATGTTTAAAACAAAAATAATTCTTTCAAAAATTTCAGTTTTTGAAGTGAAAATAATAGCAGTGGTCTCAGTAGTCGTGCTGTGTTCCGATATGTCTTTTATGTATGGTAGGACGATGATCCTTTTATTGGTTCCTTTACTTGATTTCGCTTCTGTTGACGATTTCATTTAATGAAGTTGCATGGATAGCTGTTCTTTTGGAAGATAGGCATAAGATACTTTTCCTCGTTTTCTAGTGCTTCCAAACCAAATATCATCTACAAAATAAATTGCTCAGACTGTGAAAAACACTACATAGGACAAAGTGGACGTCTTTTTCAGCTTCGTTTATGTGAACAAAAGTTAGCAGTCAAACGCCACGACAATTCTTCGCTCATATCAATACATACCGAAAATTATGGATATACATTCGATTAGAAAAAAGTAGAAATACTGGATAGGGAGAGCACAAAGAACACTAGAGAATTTTTAGAAGCTTAGCACTCAGGTCAATCAGTAATCAACAAACACATTGACATTGACCCAATTTATCAACTAATCACAAAAATCATAGGCAACGTATGGGATCAAGAATCAGATCAAAGGGAGGATACAATCAAAACAAAGGTGACAACAACGACATGTTTCAGGTCAACAGCAACCAATCAAGATCGAGGTTAACAGAACAAGCTACAAGTCAAACGTGGAGAGATTCATATGCTTCACTTCTATATGAAGTTTGTGCTGATGATGTTGTTCAGAAGAACAATGGAAGCTCCACAACCAAAACATCCAGCTCAGAGAACGAAACATCACACCACAATCATCCACCTGAGCTACAAATTTTCAACACCATGACAGTTGTCAATTGTCAATTATTAAAATTGTTACGGTTTACAAATTCATTGTACACTTAACAAATCATTCAAACATATTATTTTTAATATGTTGGGAAGCCCTGAGTTATCCTTCGGTAAGGTCTATAGAGGCTCAGCAACATCAGGAAACGTTCCATCTAGTCGGCATTGAATAGAACTATCACAGAAACACCTGAGAAATGCAGAAACGAGGTGCAACGATTCTGATTCGTTATGCTACCGTGTTTAGTATGGTTCTCGAAACTTCTAGAAGAGAAAGTATGGGGAGTAACTCCTCTATAAATTCCTTCATTTTTCTGTACATAAACTAAACTTGGAGTAAGATATTTTTCTTGAACTTCGCACCTTTTCTCTTTTGTTCAAGTCGCAGTATAGATTTAGTCTGGGGTTATTAGCAGCAGACAGGAATTCAGATCTTGTGTTTATTTAGCAAACTTATCAAATTATCATAAATTACTCACATTTCAGATCAAATGACATGCACTCACACTTCGAACATATTCCATATTCAACATTATTAACTTGGTCGAACGATTTATCTAATGTACAGTGAATTTAAGAAACTTTACACTTATATTGTATAATTTTAGCTCTGACCGTATTCCTAAGACAAATGTTTAAGTTATTTTGATTTCAATGGCTGAGATTCATGCAAATACAATCCGATTATTTAAACTTGGCGCTTCTCATTGTCGTGAAATTATTCGTTCAAGTTTATAAAAAAATTTCTTGCAAAACTTCGCAAAATTTCTTTTATATTATTCACGAACTTTTTAGATGAAATCTAATGCTCTTCCTTCTATGTGACTGGTAATCAATAAATCTATTTTTGATACCTATATTCCATTGAATATCTCACTGGTAAAGTTGTGTTAGCTTTTCATTATTTAGAATAGTGTACTTGATCGTTAAGATCATAACATTCATTTTAAACAAAGAAAATAAACCTTTTATTGATTTATGCCTATCTTCGTCTATTTAGTGAACATGAATAAGATTTTAATATGATGATCTGTCTCACTATAGAATGGTCTAAGTTGAAGAATCAATAAAAGCTGAGCAGTAATCAATTATTGTCATTATTCTTCGTTTGAAATTGTTCATCAATGAACAAACACAGTCACAGCATGGGACTGAACCTAAATAATTTTCTAAACAGATAATTTTTCTTCTGGGGACGTTAGATTTTATTCATGGACTGATCAGATGGCCTTGAGATTATATTTCCCATGAGGAACATCCTTGACGGTGATTAGTTGGTGTGTTATTTTAGTACTCTATTTTTGTGGTGATTTGTGTGTATGCGATTATTATATTTTCTGGGTGCTTGTAGAATACACTTTACGCCATATGAAGACTTTGTCTTCAGTTAGTTGAGGCAGCGGATAAGAGTAGCCTATCGTGTCACTGAGTCATTGTCTTGTTCTCGTTTATAGACTAAGATGAAGTTTCGAGCATATCCATTGACAAGCATAACATTTTCATAGACCAGATGTTAATCATACTCAAGTATCTTTTAGTGAAAGTGGTTACGTCATATTTTGAATGATAAATGGTGAATAGAAGTAAAGTTGACTAATTGAATCAAGTTGGTGAAACATTTTTCTAATCCTAACCTGTCCGATTACTTCTAATACCTTTACTACCTCTTCTACTATCGGATTTGAATTGACAGTCATATCTCTGTGCTGATAAGGTATGGCAACATGAACTGATGTACTTACGTACAAAGTTCTACGTTGCATCTGACTGACTGACTTTAAGATGAATACAATATACTACTATAAAAGTTATCCTTTGTTAGCAGTATATCTAGTCAAAATCACCTAACATGAACGTTGCCATACACATTTTAAGATTCAGATATGTGCTAATTATATAAACAAAAAGCCAAGTCAATATTAGACTTGTGAGACATACAAACTCAGATAAATTAAGTCATTTGGCATAAAATACTGATAAGTAACAATTTTATGTCAAACGAAGGAATGGACAGTTGTTAACATTGGGGGCCAGGACACTCGTTTTGACTGATTTACGACTCGTCAGCTGGATAAATCTAGCTGTGTTGATGCTCATGCACTGATCTAAACCCTTTATTCGTCACTTCTGATGTCAGTAAATTATATACTGAGCTACGGAATTCGGATACTTATTAGTTTGTACAATAACCGGTATGAAATTTATTTGAATTTGTAACGTTTTGAATCATCCTGTTGTTAATATTCTTAGTTGAATTTTGATCAGGACAAAACGTGCATCCTACTCTGCACTGCTAGACATAATCCATCTCTTTTTTAGAAAAAAATTCATGACAGTATGTCTGTCTGTACTGAGACACTACACAGAGAATTCATTTTTACCCAGTTAAAACTGACCATAAATTTAGTCAATAACATTAACAATTGTAACATATTCGAAACCTTACTCTATCAACTGTTAGTTTCATTTATCAGTTTGTCCTTATCTAACGCTGGTTTTATTTGTGCTTGCTGTTTATTTATTCCTCTATTCATCATGTAAGTGCATCATTCCATGTGCTTACAAAGTCACCGGCACACAAGGTACCTCCGGCGTAAACGCAAACCAATCAAAGGCTGAAGTTACACAATGAGAGTTCATTCAAATGCTTACTAATCACATCAAGGTTACATCAAGTTTCAGTTTAAATCGACTTTACATACTCTTATGCTGAGGAGTCCCATACCAGGACGAAACGGCCGTCCAGTGCTTCCAGGTTTCTAATGGTGGTCTAACATTGATTGATTCATGGTTTCAAAAATGTGTATCTTATGAAATAATATGAATTCATTGTCTGAAGAACTAACTTACATTAGATTGCAAAACAGTAACCAGTCAATTTTTTTTTCGACTCATTGAGATTTTACAAGTAAATCATTATTGTTGTCAGTTACACTTTTGTACTAGTTCTTATCTAAATTGACAGGAAAGAAAAAAACGGTACAAATCTGCAATCTGATTGAATTTATATAACTTTCTATTAGGATAACAAAATAAATTGACGGGATTTTTAATACGATTGAGATTACCACACTGTTTGTTATATTGATTGAAATAACTAATATTTAAATCGTTAGTTAAACAGATTTGAGAGGAAGAAGAATGTATTAACCATGTATTGAGTGTGATATCTGTATAAAAACTTTTGAATTAAGATAGTATCACTGAGTTACTTATCTGATAACAAATGACTGATCAAGAATATAAAATGAAAGTTAGTGAGAAACTAGTATTTGCTGCTTCCAGTTATGTCACATTCATTCTTATCAGTGGCCAAATCAAAATATGGCATAAATCAATGAAGTCACTGACAACTGAAGTGATTGATGTTGGTAGGTGTCGACCACCTGGTTAGGGTCCGTGAGATGATAGTAATCGATAGTTAGAGACTCTGCATGACATGGCTAAGAATCGTTTGTAGTGGCGCAGGTGCATTCATTATTGGTGTACTCACAAATCCTAAACTTCTGAGTACCTCATCATCTTTGTATTTTCATTTTTAAGTTTATTTCACTAGATTCTACTCCTTGAAGAGTATCCTCAAACCCTGATCTCTCCGATTACTGCTAATACTTCTACTATCTCTACTACTACTATGGGATTTGAAGTGACAATTACGTCTCTATGCTAATATGATATGGCAACTTGAACTGATGTACGTACATACGAAGTTCTACGTTGTAACTGACTGACTGACTGACTGATATTCTTATAAACTGTTCAGGTTTCCCTTATAGATTATTTGGGGTATCATTGGAACTCAGAAGCAACAAACAGCTATCTTATTCTGTTGTCAATCATTCCAGCAATATTCACCCATGACACACTTGAGAGGGTAAGATTAAACAACTAAACTTTGATGTCATTCAGGATAGTAGGACCATCATCTATTGTCATCGGTTATGTCTATCTAACTTCTGATATGATTCAGTTTCATCAGGCATGAATTTGTACCAACACTTTGAGAATCCATAGAATCATTGCTGCCGATTATGTAACTTCATTTTTCCGCATATATTTTCTCGCTTCCATATATATATATATATATATATATATATATATATATATATATATATATTACCGACGTGACAGTTACAGACATTCATCTAATACAGTTATGATTTCTTTCTACACTTCAAATGTAACCATGCTATATACCATGGCTATGAATCGATATATAAATTTCTTTTACTAGGCGTCGAAACTTTGTTCAGTTAGAGCTTTGGAGATATGTGTTTTTACACATTTGAAATCATCAATCAATCAATCATTGTTAGACCACCATTATAAACCTGGAAGCACTGAACGGCCGTTTTGTCCCGGTATGGGACTCATCGGCAGTGCGCATCGACGACTCCTGCACCTGACTGTATTCGAACCAGAGACCTTCAGTATTGTGCGCGACCGCCTAACTATCGGACCACCGGGCCGGCATCCAACTCTGATTGATCTAGGGATTTTGTGCGACCTCACCCATTTGCCTTTGGTAGTTACTGCCTACATCCGACAGGGTTGAACTCCATTAGTCACATCTTCTCAACTAGAACTCCGAGAATTTCCCCACGAAGCTAGTCACTAGTGATCACTGTTACGATATTTTGGGGCAGAGCTTTGGAGATTTGCGTTTTTTACACATTTGAAATCATCAGTCAATAATATCCACTAGAGATATACATAAAAAGTTCATTTCTCACATGAAATAAATATCGTTCAACAAGACCTCAATAAATTAATAATGGATGTGATATTTACTCAGCTGATTAATCAATAATTGATGTGAAATCAGGTAAAAACGAACAGAGTTCAAATTTAATTTTCTCTTTTATGTTCACTATACAATTCATTCATTAATTTTTTGATCATTCATCAACGTACAGATAGAAGATATATTGATTTTTATTTTCCAGTTTATGATGATGATGCTATTCACGCAATGTGTAAATTGATGCTTTCATTTTATTATACAAATATATATATGTATACATATACAATAAACTGATTGTCTTGATGTTTGGTTTGTCTTGGTTTCCTCTTCTTTTTTTTACGTTTTCTTACCGTTTGATAAAATTAAATTTTCCGTCTCCAAAATCGACCATCTTCTAAAAAAAACAACTTTGAATAAGTTTTATTCAACTGATTTTGTTATAAAATCTAGAAAGTAATATAATCACATTTCTAATTTGTTTGGTTGAATAATTCTGTTTGTTTTTTTTCAAACTAAAACTAATTTAAAGAAAATTTACAGAGAGAGTATTTCATCTTATTTGTAGCTCATCAGCTGAATGTGAGTTGAATCGAACACTTTTCGCTTCAGCTGCTAACTGGTTTTCTACTAAGCTATTAAGTCTAGTAATCTATTAACTTGTTTAATGGATATTATGTTTATGTCATCATGAGCAAGAGTTTGAATGATCGCGTTACTGATATTTAGGGATGAGTTTTGATCAATGTTTGTTGAGATTAGTCATAATTTCTCTGACTGCAATATTAATTGAAGTAATTCTGAATTCCATAGGAAGTATTGCATCCCATAAAGTTGCAGGAGAACGAATCCCAATTAGCATGAACACTTAATGAAAGATTCTGTGTACTGGACTTGTTCAAGCAGTTTGAACTAATGTCATTCAGAGTTCCGTGGGCTATCGGTTAGAAAAACAAATTCAGTTATCATTGAGAATTTTTAGGGGTAAAATTATTTCTACGCACTTTATTCATTGTGAACTGATTGCAGTTACATAGCACTGGGAAAATAATCTGATGTATGATCACTGAAAAATTATTCTCATCAAATTTTCGTGGTGGTGTTTCGTTCTCTGAGCTAGATGTTTAAGTTGTAGAACTTTCATTGTTCTTCTGAACAACATCATCAGCACAAACTTCATATAGAAGTGAAGCATATGAATCTCTCCACGTTTGACTTGTAGCTTGTTCTGTTAACCTCGATCTTGATTGGTTGCTGTTGACCTGAAACATCTCGTTGTTGTCACCTTTGTTTTGATTGTATCCTCCCTTTGATCTGTTTCTTGATCCTATACGTTGCCTATGATTTTTGTGATTAGTTGATAAATTGGGTCAATGTTGATGTGTTTGTTGATTGCTGATTGACCTGAGTGCTAAGCTTCTAAAAATTATGTAGTGTTGTTTGTGCTCTCCCTATCCAGTATTTCCACATTGTACTAATCGAACGTACGTATTGATATAGGCAAAGAAGTTTCGTGGCGTTTGACTGCTAACTTATGTTCACATGAACGAAGCTGAAGAAGACGTCCACATTGTCCTATGTAGTGTTTTTCTCAATCTGGGCAATTTATTTTGTAGATGATATTTGGTTTTTCTTCATTTGTCATTTTGTCCTTTGGTCTACATAGGATTGATTGAAGTGATTCTGTTGTTTGTGTGCCAGGCCTATTATAAGTGGTCTCAGAAATCGTGCTGTAACTTCCGATATGTCTTTTATGAATGGTAGGATGATCCGTTTATTGGTTCCTGTACTTAATTTCGCGTCTGTTAACGATTTCAGTTGATGTTTTTTAATGAAATTGCGTATATAGCCGTTCTTTTGGAAGGTAGTCGCAAGATGTTTGTATGTAGTTGATTTGTAGGTTCTTGGGTTGTTGCCAACGTAATTGAGAATTACGTATGTATGGGTTGGCTTCCTTTGTTAGTTCTAGTAATTAGTGCATCCAGGAACGATAGACTGTTGTTTGACTCCTTTCCCACCGTGAATTTGATGCCATCCAAGACGTTATTGATCCGATTGTAGATGTTCTCCAACTCGTTCCTTTTGATAATGAAGAATGTGTGGAAAATTCTGATGAATGATATTCACCGTTTCATATCATTATGGGGTTGTAGAGATTGGTGAATTCAATTGAAGTCATCAGCCGTTCAATGTTAGAAATCTGTAAACATTGGATGACAGTTTCATCCTAGTGTGCGACTCATTATCAATGGGTGTACACGACCGTCGCATACGGGAATCAAACTCAGGAAATGTAAATACTTCATCTCTAAACCACTGAACCGGAATCCACTGGTGTCAACATCTTATTTCGATCAATCTAAGGTGATGCACAACCATCATCCGTTGTCTTTCGTAGACGTTATGTACTACTAATACTACTACTACTACTACTACTACTACTACTACTACTACTACTACTACTACTACTACTACTACTACTACTACTACTACTACTACTGCTACTTCTACTACTACTACTACTACTACTGCTACTTCTACTACTACTACTACTACTACTACTACTACTACTACTACTACTACTACTACTACTACTACTACTACTGCTACTTCTACTACTACTACTACTACTACTACTACTACTACTACTACTACTACTACTACTACTACTACTACTACTACTACTACTACTACTACTACTACTACTACTACTACTACTACTACTACTACTACTACTGCTACTTCTACTACTACTACTACTACTACTACTACTACTACTACTACTACTACTACTACTACTACTACTACTACTACTACTACTACTACTACTACTGCTACTTCTACTACTACTACTACTACTAGCTACGAGTAAGAAATCTTTGATCATTTATATTTGCCGACTTGAGAATTTAGTATCAAGAAAATTAAATTTATTCAGAATTTCCAAATTCATAAGAAATCATTATACATACACTTTTAATTACTAGTTACTTCAAAAATTTTATAATTAACCTGGTTGTTGCAACTTTAAAAATTTTACTTTGGGTAATAAAAATAAGCTGATCATTTTTTTGTTTAAGATTTTTAATTTATTTTTATCAAATACTATTCATCGACAATAATTTTATTCAGATGCTACTAAGTGCAAGATTCAAACTGAGGTTTGAACTAAGGAATAATTGTCTAGGTAGTTTAGACACGCGTCTTGAAACTAAAACAAGTAATTTGGGTTAATGACGGTTCTAATATTTATCATAAATATAAATTTACATCATAACCTAAACAAATATTACCACTCAGTTATTCCATCAACAATTGTTCATTTGATCAAATCAACAGCAACAAATAAATGTCATTCTATCCCTCCTGGATAGATCAGATTCGTTCGAAAGATAAAATTTGGTTGCTTTATAACACAGAGTGTTTCCTATTCTGAAAGAAGGCTTCAATTAGCAATCAAAATGCACAATTCCAGACCATGCAACCAATCCAATCACAAGTGGAACAAATCAATATGGCTGTCTCCATAACTAAGTATCAGCTTAAGCAACAATAAATACAGTTCAGAAAGAAACACAGAAACTCAGTGAAGGCAGAAGAAATAGAAACTATAATAAAATACAAATATTATCATCATCTCAAAAATGGAATCGAACAGATTAACCAAATATAGAACTGAAGGAACCAATAAGGACATAGTACAAATGTGTATACATACATGGATGGAGGGATTTTCACAACACAAAACCTTCAAAAATGAATCTATTTTTTATATGATTTCATAGTTTTTTTAATTGTTTCAATTTATTGTAAATGTATCATTTGTGTGTGTGTGTGTGCGTGTTTGTGTGATTTAACATGTGACGAACAGATAGATGATGAATGACTTTAGACAAACAAATAAATAATGAAAATATTTCAAATAATAGTCATATGCAATTGTAAAAAAAACATTGGGCATTGAATATATGTACATACAAAGAATTCGGATTACAATAAGCCACAATAAATGATACTCATTTAGCCATCATGATACAATGAAATGTGTTGATACCTATTGTGAATAAACAAAAAAACCTCAATATAATTTGTCTGACTTATTTAGTACGTAAATAACAAAAATAACAGATCGGAAATATACTTATTATGTTCTCTAATTCAAATAGAAAATAATAATGAATTTGTGAGCAATAAAATGGTTACTTTTGAAAAAAAATATTTCATATCATTAGTGTGGTAATTTTTAAACGTGATTAGTTGTTAGAATTTTTAACTTATCTTTATTAGTGGATAAGTTGAGTTTATGATTTGAATTTGTGTTGTTTGTTAAAAAAAGTCGTTCCAAAAGTATAGTGAATATTAGTAATTGAATGAAAAAGAAATACACAAGTCATGTGTCTTGATGTTTATGATTATTTTTACCTATTAAAAGTACCAAGTGATTAAAAAACTTACATTATCAATGTGAGTTGATTTTTTCAATTAGAGTTAGAGAGATGATTGTTTTTAGACATTTAAAATCATCAATCAATCATTGTTGGACCACCATTAGAAAGCTGAAGGCACTGGATGTCTGTTTCATCCTAGTATGGGACTCGTCAGCAGTGCGCATCCATGACTCCTGCACCTCGCAGGATCCGAACCTGGGACCTTTGGTATTGTGTGCGAACGCCTAACCATTGGACCATTGGGTCGGAATCCAACGGTGTTAATGTCTAATTCTGATCAATCTAGGGATTTCGCGCGACCTCACCCATTTGTCTTTTGTAGTGACTACCTACACTCGACAGGGTTGAAATCCACCGGTCACGTTTTTTCACTAGAACTCCGAGAATTTCCTCACGAATCTAGTCACTTTAAATGAGATATTAATTAATTCATAACGGAAGATGTGTGTTGTTAATCAGTTGGATGTACGCAGAAACACATCAGTTTAGGTATGCAGTTCGAGAGGGAATTCTCTCAGGATGTGGATACACCAAAAGAAACTGTTCGAAACTGCGGCTCATTAGTCCAGAGGCTGAGCGTTCGCACATGGGTCTGAGGGTCCTGCGTTCAACTTCTGTGTACAGGGGGTCGTGGATACACATTGGCGATAAGGTCACTACTAGATCGAAACGGCCGCTCAACGTTTCCTGGTTTCTAACGGTGGTTTAACATTGATCGATTGATGACTTTAATGAAATTCAACAAACTCCACAACCCTATAATCAAAACAGTACCCAGTTAGCACTAGTGAAAGAAAGTAATATGAAATCATTGTTGAATTTAAGTCAATACACATCTATAATGCTTAAGTAATTTCACAAATAAATCAGTTCTATGAAATCGATCGTATGATAAGATCTATAAATTTAATTCAATATAATGTAAAGCGATAGTTATGAAAAAAATTATTAAAACTGTTCATACGTCATAGAAGAATAAATATTACTGACTATAAAATCATCTTTCATATAACGAAATTTAAATTATAGACTTTATTTAAGTGACAAAAAAAGAAAATCATCATTTGAGAAGGTAAGAGATGGTTTATATCTTGTAGTGATATGAAGACTATGACGGAAGTACCCGTCTGGGCATATCTATCCATCCATCTCTCTCTCTTTATATATATATATATATATATATATATATATATATATATATATATATTCAGGCAGCAATGATTATGGCTTGTTTTTTATCAAAACACATAGTTGAGACTACTCATAAGTATGTAGTTCTTAAGCGTTTGAAACACAATAGTTCGGATTCGAAGATAAATAATGTCTAACTCTGATTCATCTAGGCATTTTGCTCAACCTCACCCATTTGTCTTTGGTAGTTACTGCCTACACCCGACAGGGTTTGACCTCCGCTGGTCACGTCTTCTCAACAGAACTCCAAGATTTTCCTCACGAAGCTAGTCACTAGTAAGTACAATTTACGATATTTTCAATTAGAGTTGCGGAGATTTGTGTTTTTTACACATTTGAAATCATCAGTTAGTCATTGTTACACCACCATTAGAAACCTGGAAACACTGAACGGCCGTTTCGTCCTGATATGGAACTCATCAGCAGTGCTCATCCACGAATGAATCAATTTAAAACCAAACTTAAACGCATTATTTTTAAGTTTCGTTCTATTTATTCCCTCTTAGACTAAAACATTATTGTTGCAGTGCATATATGTTTATACCCCAGTTTGAAACATATACTGATCTTTCCAAATGATAAGGCATTATGCATTTAGCTACTAAGTCATGATTTTTTTCAAATTATTTACTACTTACTATTATTATTATTTGACTATGGTTTTTCATTTTGGCTTATTGATATTTTCAGAACTGTATTTGATCAGTCTATGTTAGCTTGATGAACTTACTTAATGGTTGGTCAGAAACTACCGTATACTTACTAGTTAATTATAGATTTTTTTAGATAAAAGGCAGCAAGCAAATCAAAGCACATGCTCGGAATCTCACCATTTTACTAAGATTGTCAGTAAAGTTGACATGAATTATCGATTGTTTGTAATGCTTAGTGTCCTTTAAAATAGTAGTTATCTCAAATGATGACACGATGAATGAGAGCTAACTTATCCAAGTCTTACGATATCCATAATATACTAAGCTACGATATTCAATTTTAAAGAACCTTTTTTTGAAAGTTGTAAAACTATAATCCTTTCTGCTAACAGATAAACTAACGTGTATTACGTAATAATTGACAGAAAAAAAACGTTGGAAGAAAGATTAGACAGTATGGGTTGGATTTTTATATATTTATATATATGGATAAATAATTACGCTACAAAACAGATCAAATTTATTTTATTCATGTCACAAGTTAACTGTTGTCTCACAGAATTCAATTGGCTTTTGGATTAGCTATTTCAAAAAAACAGAAAAAAATTACGTAAAACAGGTGTTTCATTATAATCTGACAATAAATTCTCACATAGAATATTAGGCATGTATGAATTGAATGACTTGCTTTTCAATAGTTGTTTTTAATTGCTCTATTAATGATTAGTTATTGAGATATACAGGTCGGCCAGAGTTAGATGTTCACTCTGAAAACTAGGAAGTACTGATATGAGACTCTTTTGGCGGTAACACAATGGCGATTTCATCAGGATGTAGGAGGGATTTTGTTTGTGACCGATTTGGTATGGCGTGCTGTTACAGGTATGAGGTCGGATGTCACATCCCGGCTGCGTCAACGAGCTATGTTTTCTGGTGTAGGAGTAAGTTGGAAGGAAGATAGGGGCGACCGAACCAATAACATGGCAGAAATTTATGAAATCACTGACTAGTGGATTGAGTCATGCTGGTAGATGTAGACTAACTGGTTGGAGCCCGCGAGTTGATAGTCATCGATGGTTAGAGACCCTGAATGACATGGCGCAGAATGGTTTGCAATGGTGCATGAGCATTCACTCTTTGTGTTCTTTTTAATTCTAACCTCCTGAATTCCTCATCATCTCTGTCTTTCTCTTTCTAAAGTTATCTCACTGAATTATACTGGTTAAATAATATCTTCGATCCCTAATCTTCTCCATTACTGCTAATAGTTCTACTATCTCTACTTCTATGGGATTTGGACTGGCAGTTGCATCTCTGTGATGATGGGGTATGGCAACCTGAACTTATGTGCTCATATACGAAATTCTACATTGCAACTGACTGACTGACTGATCTCGCCAGGGATTGATCCCAGAGTCTTTAGGTCTCGTGGCGAAGGCATAACGTTCGAACCAATTTTCGTGAGAGGTTTAAGGGTTCTAGTGAGAGCGCGTGATCAATGGATTTCAACAGTGCCAGATGTGAGACAATTATCTATCGCAGACAATAGAAGATGATTGCACAATGTCGCAACCTGATTA